TATACCTTTCGGGAATAGTTGAGAATTGGACGTGTGAGTTGTCTTTGAAGCGAATACGGAGACCTTCTTTTGAGCTAAGACTCCGGTCGTTTCTGAACGATAAGGGAACGGACTTTTCGAGTCGTGTGAGAACATCGTCATTCTAAGACAGAAGATTCCATTCGGGGATCCAAATCCGAGAGGAATTGGAAAGGTCTTCGACAAAAGACAAAAGCTCGACTCATATTGGTTCCAAAAAGAAATCCCAATTATGTTTTCCATTTTTTGGAATGGAATAGGATCAAGATGCATTTCTTAAGAACTAAATATGTCTCATGAATTAACTAAATATGCATCATAAATTAACTGTATACGCATCATTATATATTTAATTTAAATATAACAAATATGCATTTCGTATTAACTAAATATGCATCATAAATTACCTATATAAAATGTACATTTTTATTGCATATTCTCGCTGCATATTTAGTTCGTTCATGATGCATATTTACGTCATAACAGATGTATATTTAGTTAATAACATGTGCATACTTAGTTGATATTATTGATGCATATTTAGTTCATAAGAACTGCATGTGCAATTCATACCCCATGCATATTTAGTTCATATTAAATGCATGGTATTTGATGCATATTTACTTCATACATACTGCATACCAGGGCCAACAGGTTAACGACGAAAGTCAATGGTCAACGACGGAAGTCAACGGTCAATGCCGGAAGTCAACGGTCAACGCCGGAGTCAACTAATAATTACATTGTTTAATTAATCTATATTTTAATTGATTTTGATCTAGACAAAATAAGTTGCTAAGATTGTGTCTCGCATACTCATTTCAAGGAGTGGACTCATTGGATTCACCCCTTACACACACACACACACACACACACACACACATATATATATATGTATATGTAATATCCCATCAGTTTATTAATATAAATTATGTTGTTAGTTCCGATATAATAATGTTGTTGAATTATTATTTTCGGAATTAATCATTTTCATTCGAGACTACCGAAATTTATTTTCGACGTACCGTTTACGTCCGGAATAATTTTGGTAATTAAGCATTATGTTTAATTAAATATTTAAACATATATTAGTGAGTAATTGTTAATTAATCACAATTAAGTGATTAAGCCGTGACTTATGTGCAATTTCCCCCAAATTGCTCCAATTGCCGTGAGCTTCATTCATCATTTGGAATTATCCCAATTAATTCCTCAAAATCAATCGAAGCTTTCTTATTAAGTAAGGAAAGTTCATATGCTTAGTCATCCCAACTCATCTCATAGCTAGCAAATGTCCAAAGCTTAAGGTGGCCACGCCACACCCGCATCATTACTTTCCCATCTCTCGACCGTAAGTATTAGAAGGGTGTTTGTATGAAAAATTTCCCATTTTTCTCCATTAGAAAGTTCAGCGACAGAGTTCTTCATATAAGAGTGAGGGAAAGATCAGAAAATGTTCCATACTCCAAGATATTGCACAGCAAATAGCAAGAAGCCTCCGCACCGCAACACCCTACCGCACACAAGCACACGGCGCCGAGTTCCCCATTTCAGGACCTTCCCTTCACCGGAGATCGGAGGTTGCAGAGGTAATTTAAGGTTACCTTGAACCGATCATGTTAGGAATAATCTAGTTCTAGCGAGGTCTCGTTCATAGCATGGCTTGTTGCCGTCCGGCTGTGTGCATGTCCGTGTGCATATCCGTGTGTATGTATGTGTCCGGGAGTGATTATTCGAAATTATCTTGTTAATTTCAGAAATTATTTGATCGAGTAGGTCTATTTTAGCTGAGATATGCGATTAAATGTTCAAGTGTGTTGGGTGGCTTGACTTTGTTTGTATTGATCGGTAGTCGGCCGAGAAGGTGGTAGCGCACCTCGCGCATGCCCCGGGCTATCTGATATTGTTATGGTTACTCCAGTTATGGTCACAGGTGTTGTTCAAGATATGTTTTAATAGCCTTAACTTAAGTGATGTTCATGTTTGATTGACCTGGAGTTACCAAGAGAAAAGTTGAAATGGACGGGTGACGGCCTATCGCCGTCGACAGCGCACGGCACGCCCGCCATAGCCTTGTGCGGTCCATTGTGCAAAAGATTGATATTTTCAAATAATTTCAGTAACTATGTTTAAGTTAAGTCAAAGCATATTAGTTGAAGTCAGTTTGGCCGGGAATTGTGGTCGGACGGCCGGCAAGGGTCGGTCGTGGGGTTGTGCTGCCCGCACATAGCGGCAGCAGCGCACCGGCCCTCAGTCACTGCGCGACGGGCAGCGTATGCGCAAGCTAGGCTGCGTGCATGTTACCTGTACGCGGATGTTACCTGTACGCGGCGGAGTTGCGGGCGACGTCCAGTAGCACGCCCGCCCACGGTTGTACACACCCGTGTGCGCATACCCGTCCAGTCCCTGCTGTGGCGCACGATAGCGCCCAGCAGTGTCAGCTAGTGCCTGTGCCGCGCACATAGCGCGGGGCAGCATTCAGTCCAGCGCCCCCATCGTCCAGTACATGCCACGGCCAGGTTGGACAGCGCCAGCGTGCGCAGCCCCGGCAGGCCGCTGGCCAAGCCAGCAACCCACAGTCCGGTTCAGCGGACCGACCGTCCGGTCCAGACCGGTTCAGACCGGCTGGACCGGTCCAGTCCCAAATTTTACGGTTTAATCCGTATTTTAAAGTTTCAGCCCCGATTCTTAATTTCAGTGTCAATTTCAGTTAAAATTCTGGGTCCAGTTCAGT